AGCATAGTTAGTACTTTGTATATAAGGAAGCCATATTGCACAGTTAACATTAATGAGAAATAAACATTCTTAACAGCTTTTTTTTCAAGCTTAGCTTTATTAAGAGTTTGTTAGAGCATCTCCAATGGTTTATACAATTTTTTACATCAAAAATGGTGTAACACCAAAATGATATTGGATTTTGCTCCAATGGTTTACACCAATTTTTACACCAAAATAGAATATTCTTAATAGATTCTCTTTTTCATTTCTTGAAAATTTACAAATCAACCCCACTTATTTTTTTAAGTTTCAAAAATTATGAAATAAATTAAATTTAACATTTATTATATAAAAGAAATACATTGTAACATATAAAATAACAAAATATATTAATATTTTGTTTAATTATTATCAAACATATTAGTTTTTAGGTTTAAATATCACAATTTGTATATGTTTTTATTAATTTTAAAGTTGATTAAAATTTGAAAGACTTTTTTATGAACAAAAAAGTTCAACACCAAAATGGTGTTGAAAATAGTGTTGGGTTGGAGAGGGGTTTACACCAAAAAAATAGGTTTGGTGTACCGTTGGATATGCTCTTAGACACGGTTGAATAGAAAATATAATAAATACACACTGTACATATAGATGCAGGCCCGTGCCTATGTAGAGAAAAAAGAAGCATTGGCCTCCGACTCTTTTTTTTTGTATACAAATATTGAAGCCTTCCATTTATTTTAATAATTTGTTATAGTATTACACTAAAAATAACTTATTATATAACACAAAAAGATTAGAGTATAATGAGACCCATTCATCTTCTTCTCACGTCCCACCGTCATACAAACTTACATATGTTTTTTTTTTTTTTTCCTTTCATTGTTTGTAATCAACCATCACAATTCACTAATAAGCTTCTTTTATACTATTATGTTTTTATTATTTATAAATCTTAAAGAGTTTTGATTTGGAATAGATTGGATAAGTAGAAATCGTAAAAGATTTATTCATATAAATTTTGTGATTGCAATTTATACTGTTTTTATCACAAAATTTTATATTCATTTTGTCACAAGAGAGATTGAATGACTTGGTTATTTCATAGAAAAAAGTTGGTTAATAATGTTATATTGAAAACTTGTTCGTCATTTTGTATGAAAAAAGAAGATAAATTATATTTTATAATTCATACTTTGGTTTTTTTAAACGGTAGTTTTTATTTTTAATAATGTTCTTATCTAACAAACTTTTATTTTATAAAAACTATTAAACTTTGCATTTGGTCTATGCAGCCTTAGGAACGGCTCTGTATAGATGACACGCTTTTTATTTTGTTGTTTGTTTCTTAATTGTTGATTAGTTTCTAGAAGGAAACGATGCATGTCAAGAGTCAATACTAAATGAAAGTATGAATCAATCACGTTGAAATGTTCATAGTTTACTTCACCCTTGAGATTGCTATTTACCTGCATATCCATATCTTGTGTTAGAAAAAGGACACGTTGAAAAGGTCCTTTTTCTTCTTTTTCGTTTGTCAAGCGAGCAGTTAGAAACTGTTCATACTCTTTGTCTCTTTTACTTTTTTTTTTGTTACGCAAAAGAATACTCGCGAGACATTGGCAACTATATTGATGGACTTTTACTATATCAAGACCAAGTAAAACTATTTGTTTATATTTATAATAGTTAGGTTGGTCAAAAAGGATTAATACTGTATCTTGTGTCAATTTTTTTTTTATTTTTTTAAACGCGTTAAAGATTTGCCGCGTGCTTTGTCACTAAATTACCATTTATGTAATTCAATTTTAAAGTGGTGCTCGGATTTTGGGTCTATAATTTGTTTTTTTTTTCTATTGTCAACACTCTAACTAATTTTCCTCCTTGTCTGTTTTTTCATTTTTCAAGAATTGAACGTTTTAAACCGGACGGTAAAACCTTATTATGTCAAATGTCACATCTACATTTTCATATCACTGCATTAGATCTCTCTTGTTATTTAGCATCAACTAATTAAAAAAAAAACTATTTAAAAAAATTTGACCAACGTGATCAAAACATACGTTCGGTTTCGTCGGTGAGAACACCATGCATATTTTCATAATTTTTACTTTTTAATATACTTTTAACTTTTGCATCTATCATTAGTTTTAACTTTGTAAACTATAATAAAAGCCAAAAAGAGGCGGTAAATAGTCAGACAAGTCATGCAAGATTGGGACATTTCGGGTACTAAACCCAAGATTTAGTCTCCTTAAATTCAAACCATTTTTCATTTTGAATAATTTCTTTTGATTAATTTATCACCTATCAAGCTACCAACTCTAGATCGCCTTTGCTTCTTCCTCTCCAATGCACAAAAATTTCCACGAAATCTCCTGCCTATAAATACCTTCGATTCTTCTCCTCCTCATCCATATCTCTCATCATCACAAAGTCATCTAACTTAAACTTCTTTCTTCCTTCTTGCTCTTGTGATAATTGCGATGGCTAAAATCGGAAGCTTTCTTATTCTTATTTCTCTCGCTTGCTCTCTTACGCTCTGCATCTGCGATGACGACGAGAACAATTATGGTGGCAACAGAGGCAACCTTTTCACAGGTTTCTACAGCAGATCCTGCCCTAAAGCCGAGGAGATCGTGAGGTCAGTCGTAGCTCAAGCTGTTGCAAGAGAGACTCGTATGGCTGCTTCTCTCATGAGGCTCCATTTCCATGACTGTTTTGTTCAGGTACTCGAGAGTTTTTTCTTTTTCTTTGTATAAGTTACTTTCTCAACAAGCTAACTGTTAATAATCATTTGAATGAAAATTTGTAGGGTTGTGATGGCTCATTGCTTCTAGACAGCAGTGGTAG